AACAGAGGGAAAAACGGATGTTGGCAATAAGGCGCTTTATATCACATTATATTTATAAATATCATTGTTAAATTGAGTAATCACATTCGATAAACAAAACTAGGGAACAATCATTAAGAATGAGAATTACTGAGTGAATTTTATCATAAATTTTGTGTACACAATAATGATGAAATTAAAATAAACAAGTAGATCAAGAGAAATCAAAGGATGAAGAATCATCAACACCGTGAGTTTGTCGTCCTGGAGTCGGTGTCACTGGTGTAGTCGCTACACTACCAGATGTTTTAGTCTGAAAGCAAAACCGAGGAAATAAATAAATAAATAACAATAACGATAACAAAAGAATAGCTGAGTAATTCAATGACTTCTGGAGTGGAGAAATAAAAATAAAGGTTGAATCGGTGAATTTTACTTTAAAAAATTAAACGTAAAACTTATCCCAAGTTTCACATTATCAACCGATTTGTGTTAAATAACAATAGGAAACAAGGAAGTACTAAAGAGGTATTTTGTTGTAGTATCAAACTCCTAAACAGTGAATATCCACGACCCCATAAGAGATTGGATTCAGAACCATCAGGTCTTGTAGCAAGTGCTTAACCTGAATAACATTGGTTCAGTAGGAAATAACTTCTTGTGAGGTTATTAGTTCACAATGCTAAAGAGTCACACAGTAAGACAACACAACCGTTCACTGCTCTTTTTGATCTTTATTCTTTGTCTAACCGAAGTTGGTTTGTGTTGAGAAAACTTAAAATTGACTATTTTCATAACACCCGATAATAACAATGAAGCGTACTCATTATAAGGCTGATATAAAAACACTGTTTTAATGTTATTCCTCATAAGAGTCAATCGTATTCATAACACTTGTATTTACTCTGAACTATTTCAACATTATTCATTTATATGTAATGATAAAACGAGATCATCCTTAGTGAGAGATTACCTAAACAAACATACTTATTATGGTGGATTGTGTTGAACAAGATTCTAGATAGCAAAGCTACATAAATATATATTGTTTGTGGTTTTAAACCGGTTGTTAGTCAATTTTTCTCCTTTAAGCTCAAATCATCACCCCACCCACATTTAGTATTCGTCATAACCTTCTCTACTGTCAATAATCTGCATGCACGTGATATATGATCATATATAGAGAGAGTTCTCAATCATTATTATCTTTTTGAGTGGTGTGACATTAACAATCTCACCATTTTTCCAAATAACCTTAATATAACTAAACATAGAACTTAATCCTTATTTCTCAACATTTACCTTACTAGCCATACTGACATTTCCTAGAAAAAAAAAATCATATTTCCTATTAGATGACCTTCAGTGATGTGAGAGATTTGACTGATATTAGATATGCACACGTTACTTGGTTTTATTATGCTGGAGAGATAACTCTATGATTTGTGATTAACATTGTGTGAAGTTGGATTTTTATCACAGGATGATGTCAGTATAATCAAACTCCCCATTTAGACATTTAGTTCAAAGGCGGTTAGAGCAAAAAAAATACATCAGCTGAAAATTCAATGAAAACCAAAACTAGACAGTTAGTTCATTCTTGAATGAAACTTTCAAGTTATGAGTAACAATGACTCTGCCAGGAATTGTCAGATCCATGTCTCGAGGTGAGGATGATGTCACTGAAACATAATTGGACAGCCTACAATTCCTTAACTCTAGTTAATTCATGATTTCTCCAGATAATCATTCAATGTTATCATAGTTTCTAAATGGAAGTTTTCGAATTATTCACCAAGTTAGACACTATCGTCACTAGTACGTATTATAAGTTTGTATACTTTGAATTTTTTTTCTGGTTAGAATTTGCTTTTAGCAAGGTTAATATTTTGAATTGCTCAAGGTAAAAGGAAAATGCGGCAGATCAATGAACAAAACTTGGGCGCAGTTAGAAAGGAGAGTGCTCAGGACAGAGTTGATTGAAGATCCCTTATCGGCGGCTTATACTCTATGATGAGCAACAGACGTAAGTAATACTTTAAATTTCAGTTTAAAATTTTAAGTGTGAGGTTTACTGATACTATTTCCAATTGTTTATAGCAAAGTAGACAGTGTAGTGTGGTATCCAGCTTGAAACTTAAATGATGAAAGCCAAATATAAGTAGTCATAAGTGAACTTGAAATTTATAAAAGTTTAAAAGCTATAAAAACAGTTTATGTAGTTTAGTGAGGAAAAAAACAGAAGACATATTAGGAATATGATTCAATAACTTCAGTGGATTCTTTAAGCTAAAAACTTATTGATCAAAAACTCAGTATATCTGGCAGACTTCAGGTTCATTTATTCCACACCGATGTCTTCTAATTGAACTCTTGGATCGGTTTCCTAAGCATTTCGAATAGTATCAGGATAAATCTACACGACAACTTGAACAAGAGAGAAAAAACCAGTAGTGTGAAAAGAACGCTTCACAACAAGGTTAGTTTATGTACATAAAATAGAGGGTGTTTACAGTATTTCAGATGGCCTTGGGTATCTAGAAGATTCTGGAATCATACTAAACATTGTAGCAGGATAGGTGATCATCTAATCAGAAATGTGATACGTGACTCTTCACTTTCTAGATGTATTTGAGATACTTCTATTTAATGCTGATTGGATGAAATGTTTCTCACTGTTTTCAGGGCCCTTCTCGGTGTTTTCGAGTAATACTCTTTGTCTACCCTACAGTATTCGTTAAAAAAGAATTTAGTGCAGTAAACATACGGCACACCTTTCGTAGTGAATTTAAGAGAATAAAATGGAATATGTAATTCCAATTAGCTTTATATAAATGTTATTACTAAAACCCACTTGGAATGTGTGAATTCCATGTTCAATGATGAAATGTACAGGACAAATGGATAGAATAGCAATGAGTCCATCACTAGGTCCCGTATTCGTTGGTATTTTTCTGTTTAACCTATAGAAAATGGTCCACTCAAACAGTTTATCCCAAAGTTTTCATTTTGTTATGTGTGATTGACATATCCATCCTTTGTAATCATATCACAGAATAGCTAAAAGTTCATTGACAATTTAGTTCAGTACACCCGGCTATTAAGTTCATAAAAGAAGAAGAACTTTATTATTATTATTATTATTATTATTATTATTATTATTATTATTATTATTATTATTATTATTATTAGCTTTATTCAATATCATATTTTTGGTACAATATAGAATTCTCAGCGTAAAGTATTTCAACAAGTTTCCGTTTCTTTCTTCTTGGTCGGTCCTGGCGATAAATATCGAGTGATCGCCAGCTATATGTTAGTAGTTCAGTAAATGAACATCTGAATAATGTGCATTCTTTTCGTTGTATATTGCCAGCAACCACATTGTCTCTTATTGAGTTTTTTGTAACTTTGATAACGAAAGGTTGTACACTTTTCAGAAACGCAGCAGAATAGATCATGCGATTAATAAACATAATGATATATTAAAACAAACAAAAATAGATAACTTCTTGAAATATCTAGATGGCAGGAACAGATAGCCCAGATGCTCAAACAGGCCGCCCTATTAAAGGTAGGATAACATTTAAAGCTGTTCTCCTAACTGACAAAGTTGAATAATATTGTATTTAAACGAGAAAAATACATACAGAAAGAAATATTCATCGCTTGAGCTTTTTTATCGCTGCAGTACAAAAGAAAATTGGCAGAAACATAGAATAACAACCACATGCTCTTCTCAGACTTCTGACGAGGAACTGAACGTCATGGATAATACTATCAGGGGGAAATTTATATCCTGAAAAGTTTCCAAACATATTACGTATTTCTCTGATCAAACGATGATTTGATTTGCGATTAAATTATCTTTCTGTTTGTTATATCCGAGTGAAGATTCAATTATGGGTAACTTCTGAGAACTATTTATGGACTAATATTATACATATTCTTATTATATAACTGTTGAAAAGCTAAACTATTGGTTACTGTTATGTGATTTACTATTCTCAAGTTATTCTCAATCTATTAGTCACAGTTTCTTACAATCACAGCCACTTTTTGTCATGATCTTGTACAATTGTTATTTTTTATTTTGTGGTATGATGTGGTTTGGTTTGTTTTATATAAACCAGGTATGTTTGAAATAAATGATTCATATAGCGTAACCTGATATTGGTGTTCTGGGCTAAACAGGCAGGGCTAGGCAGGAAAGAGGACCAATTAGAACTCTAGGCGGCTCATACCGGTTAATCCGTCATTGATTTGGCACAGTGCTAAGATTGTATAAGTCGTATTCAGATCGGCGACTAAATCAGGTGACAATTAGCCGGGCAGAAGTCACAACACTGTTGTCCAGTATTATTTATATTTATTCTAATCATTAATTTCGCAATTCCACTAAACGTCCAAATTTATTCAAGTTAACATTACATAATGGTCGTTTTAACATCAAATCTAGTTTAATAAGGATCTTAAATTCAAACTCTATATTTACCTTAAATTAGTACAGGACTACATTTACTAGCATATATACTCTTTCTTCATATTATGTTTCAATACAAAGCGTTTTTATGTTTCTTACATTGTTAAACAAGTCATGTATTTTCAGTGGTACAATTTGACAAGTAATTTACTGAGAGTGACTATCCTATCAGATATATCGTATGTAACCAGGAGTTTTTTACTGTTTGATTTATCTGAAAGCAGCTTTGGTTTATGTAAAATAATTCCATAAATACTTTCCTTAATTTTGTGATCAAATTAAAAGGTAACACGCTGGATAAGGATAAATTTACAACGAACTATCGACCAAATCACAAGTTCTACCCTGAATGACTCAGTTGAATTTCCTATTGTTTGCCCTAGCTTCTAACAGACCAGTCCATACATCTAAAGTTGCGTTATGATTGGTCGACTGTTTTATTTATCATGTAATTGGTTGATTTCATGTGCATGTGATTGGTCAATACATTAACTTGTCAATATAAATCCGTAGGAGTTAGGAAAATTTGACTAGAATAATGTCTACCAACGTTGTTACTCCCGTGTATCAGGTCTCTTGTTTGACAGATCCATCATATGATGCAGTTTTGTTACTGAATGATGATATTGAAAATTTACCAAGAACTTTACAGCTGGCTTATAAGTCCTTGAAGGAGTTCTGTGAGGTGAGTAGTATTTGCTTGCATAGTCTACCGAATTACACATGGTTTATCTCAAGTTACAGAATTTAGTTAAATATAAAAATAAAGCATAATGTTTTTCGAGAATTTCCACTTTGCTATGACTAATTCCTAATATTTTTTAAGGTGTTGCCCAATTTTTACAATGACATGCATAAGGGTCAAGTGTAGTATTCAAAACCTGGCTAGTATTCCTGCACAAAAATCCACTTAATATTTCACATTCGTCTTCAGAATAAATACTAAGGTGTCAAAATAATTATTAAATATTTGCATTTATATTTCTTGTCCATAAAATTTCTACCGAGATGTACAACTAAACATAGGTTCAAGTTGTATGAAGACCTTCAGCCATTTTTTCAAATCCTGGGCATCATATTATACTACGTTATTCATTCGGTGATGCAATTATTTGTTAATGATACTGATGTATACAAAACTTGCTATTTCCAAATAATTGCCCAGATTCCGATAATCCTGTAGTATATTTCGAATCTACCGTAGGTTTTTACGCTCAATAAATCCTTCGTACTTGATTGGTTGATGCAAGCGATTTGACTTTATACGTATACATCTGTTCACGTCATATATTAGTTAGTTAGTTATCAGTTTTCATAACCGATCGGACTTGTAATCTAATGAACGAAGATTGACAGGTTGTACATTGTGAGCCAATTAATTATGATTATGATTAATTCACAACTTAGTTCAATTCATATCTTTACTAGTTTGCAACTGCTATCTCTTAACATTTCACAGCTAACTGTCGATAAAAGTTTAGGAGAGTATTCAGTAAAATTTCAAGGGCATTCTGTGGTATCAAGCTTTGAATTATTTATATTTATTTTGCTAGAGTACACGGTATATATCTATATTTAGAACAACATATATAAGAGAACAATATTGTTTTCGGTTAGATCCTCATCAGGCTTTACTCTAATATACAGGAGGTTATCAATAAACTGGATTTCTACTGTCATTACGTTGATGACACCTTCATCATTGCCGATCAGAACATTAGAAAAGAACAACTACTGGAACTATTTAATAACAAACATCCTGCTATTAAATTTACATGTGAAGAGGAAATAAATAACAAACTAAATTTTGTGGACGTTTTGTTACGTAGAAAAGAAAATGGTTCCATCAGCAGAGGTGTGTATAGAAAAAGTTGTTCTCCAAGCCAATACGCACATTTTTTAAGCTTTGTGCCTCTTCATTATAAGAGAAACTTAGTCAAATGTCTTACAAATAGAGCTCTTAAGATATGCTCAGTCGACACTATTGATAGAGAATTACAACACATTCATAATATTTTGACTGAATTGGGATATCCCCTGGGTTTCCTGAAGAAACAATTGCGCGTACAAAACAGGAAAATAGTGACTCTGACAGCTAATAAGAAACCGCTTTTCTTGAAACTGCAATTCAATGGTGATTTGGCTAGCGATGTATTACGGGATAGATTGACTAGAGCAGTAAAAAGAGAACGTTTAATGCTGCCAACCTCTGCCTATCTTATTCGACCCGATCGATGGTGATTCCATAATTGAAGGATAAGTTACCTGGTTATGCCACTTCTATGTGTATCTACAAATTCAGCTGCTCCTGTGGAGTAAGCTATGTTGGGCGCATTACCAGGCAACTGAACCAACAAGTTAGTGAACACCTCCCTTCGTGGTTAGGAAAATGTTACGTCAAAACAATACGCAGCTCCGTTCTATCACACTTGATCGATAGCGGTCATATAGTGGACAGAAACAAGTCGTTCAAAGTTATTTATCGTATTCCCACTAGTTTTCCTTATTGTGTTCGACCTCGTCTCTTACACATAGCTGAAGCTATAGGAATCCGAGCCAACAAGCCAAGTCTTTGTGGTCAGAAGAAATTTGTAACACCCTTATCTCTCCCCTAGCCTTAAGTAATAAATGAGTTTATTTACTTATCTATTCTTTTTCTAACTTTCTCTTCGTTTATTATTTTTCTTCACACCCTCCTACCACTTTGTTTTCTTTCAAGTATACGTTTCATGGCCCAATTATCTGAACATTTCTTATTACGTCATCTTATAATTTTATAATTGTTATCTCGGTTTCTATATTTTTCTAATTATTGACCTATTTCCGATTATTTAACATTGATTTGAACCTTTATTATTCCTATCAAAACTAATGCACCTGTTGTCACACCATCAATTTGTACTTTTCACATTTTACCTATTATGTAATCTTTTCCATTGTTATCATTGACTTATAAACTACCTTGATTGGTTTAATAATTTGGTATATCCATATAAATATTACTGTATATTAGAGTAAAGCCTGATGAGGATCTAATCGAAAACAATATTGTTCGCTTATATCTATGTTGTTCTAAATTTACGATATGAGAATATTTCAAATATATCTATATATATAAAGTTTGATCTGCTGAATTAGTGAGTATTCTATCATAATAATTTTTTAACGTTTACTTCCAAGGTTAATCCTAAGTTTTCAGATGAAATCAGTGTGATTCCATTCCCAGAACATCCATCAAAAAGATTAGTAAGTAATTTTTTCAATGATCTATGTTTGCTTTTTTTTTCATTTGAAATCTTAGAGTATGCAAATCAGGTACATTTATATTTGTTCTCTATGAAGCGGCTTTGATAGCCATTTATCAGTCAATGTTTTTCTAAGAAACACAATTTCTTCAATGCATTCAGTACTACAGATCTTACTTATTCGGTAACATGGAGTGAATAAGATTCCTCTTTTTGCTTAGTGGAACTCAGCTATGGAAGTTGGTTAACTGGGTCATTCTATGGTTACTTTCCGCAAATTGACCTTTTTAAAGATATATATCTCTTTGTCAGAGGCGTATCGGGGGATGAGGTAGAATCATCTAATTCCTTTCAGAGTTGTATTTACATAACTATTGAGTTCTATTTATGTATGGAGACATTTAAAATACTGATTATTCAGTTCTCAGTTAAGTGCTGAATTCAACGAGCGGGCATTTTATTTGATTGGTTAATTGCCTTATTTCTCACGGTAAACTTTTATTCAGTTGAGTTTATTTAATCTACGTAACTCTCGAAATCTGACCAATAAAACTGTTATAATTGTATTGTGTATGTGTTAAAAAATTAGTGCATGAATAGTTATCAGATATTTACAACTTAGGTAATGAGCAGTAACACAAAACTTTACAATTCAATCAACGTGAACTGGATCGGTCCTCAGTTTCTTAAGACTACCAGTTATGCATTATGTACACACTTCAGATAGTATCCATTTATTATGAAATATATGCTTGCTTATTGCTTAATAAAAATCACAAAGTTTCAGTATCATTTTAAGCCTCGATTATCAATTTCAGCATGATAGGATTTTTGGATTTGTAAGTCAGTTTATTCTTTAAAAATATTTCATAAGGAATTTTTAAATTATTTTAGATTTTTAGTCCAACTGGTCGGTTAAATACAGATGAAGCGGACATTCGTAGTGTGTATGATGCTGCTGTGAATGGCATGTTAAAGTAAAGTTTACATTGACTTTATATTCTTGTGGGTACACACATTGATCTTTTGTCTGATTCAAATATAAATGATGATTTTACTTTTAAGGCTATATTGCATTGTGATCCCAACCACTAGGTCGCAAGCTTGAACCACTCTCACTTTCGATTGATGGTACATTCTACTTATATCTGTCGACATCAGTAGCACACATCATAGTAGTATTGATTTTTCTTTAACATAAAATTTTCTTTTAACTTGACACTTTTTACTCTATGATGACAAGGTTAGTTTTTCGTTTTCATTTCAAGCGTTCTGGGCACCGTATAGTGATATTTTTTCCGTTCGTTTTACGGTATTTCGAATTTTTTGCGAAAACCTAAGTCTCATTCCTTATTCTGATTGACTTGTCCCTCGTACTTTACTTCTACTTCTTAAAATAGTCACTTGGATAAATTTAAATATTCCCGTATTGTCAATTAGAACAACGTATATGAATGAACGACATTGTTTTCAACTAGATCCTCATCAGGCTTTACTTTTAATATATAGTAATATTTCACAGGTTGAAATCATGAGTCAATTGAAGCTAGACCACCATGGAAAACCTGGGTGCGGGATCGTGGATGCGCACTGCTGTGGAGTCCCATACTAGGACGAAACGGCCGTTCAGTGCTTCCAGGTTTTTCATAGTGGTCTAGCTTCAATTGACTCATGATTTCAACCTGTGAAATTTCTAAAACTCTCCACAAAACCCATTCTGATATAGTAATATTTAAATGCACATATGAAATTGTTATATCAAGTATGACGGTTTATGAGTCAGTGATAACAATGGAATAGATTACATAAACAAACATAATAAGCAAAAAGTACAAATTGATGGTGTGATGACAGGTGTAATTGTGATAAGAATAATAAAGGATTGAGTCAATGTTTCATAATAGGAAATAGATCAATGACTTGAAAAGTATAGATACTGAAATGACATTTATTAAAGATTATGAGATTACGTACCCGGAGAATTGGACAGTTAAGCATATATTTGAAAGAACGGGGTAGAGAGAAAAACATCAGGACATATAGTATGGGAAGTAATAATTTTTATGACTACAAAGATTTGAATTGTTAACTCGAATCCCCATAGCTTCTGCTCTATGTAAGAGACGTGATGGAACCCTATAAGGAAAACTAGCAGGTATAGGATAATTTATTTTAAATGACCTATTTCTAAGTTTCCTGGTTTTGCTAAATCATGTATGCCTACGAATTCAGCTATTCCTCTAGAGAAAGTTATATTGGGTACACAACCAAACAACTGATCGAACGAGTTAGTGAACATCAGCCTTCGTGGTTAGTCAAAGGTATAATCAAAACAATGTGCAGCTCTGTCTTATCATGTTTCGTCGGTATCGGTCATGTAGTAGATAGACCTTCACCCTCTTCTTTACAAACTGTATTTGAAATGGTTATTCACGCAGTTCATTCTTTAGGATTACATAATGTAATTGATTATTGTAGCTATAAGTTTATTTTCCTAAATTTCGACCTACTTTTTATGTCGCAATAAATATACATGAGATCAAGCTTTTTTAAAATTATTCATATTAATATCATTCATAAAACCTGTCTCCTCACTACAGATTTTCACTCATTTATTATGACACTGTGTAATCTACATGATTGTTACTGACATCCTACTAATGACCTTTGTTAGTTTAATATTATTCATGTATGCATAGGAATATCGTTGTATGTTAGAATCGAACCGGATGGATATCTAATTGTAAACGATTTTTGTTCAATTACATGTCTTATTCCACAAATTTGTTTTATTTAGCTCAATATTTTTATTATTAAATAAGAATACTCGTTTGTATTAGTTTCATTGATACTATACTGCTGATCTTCATTTTAATAATATAAAGATGGAATAACATGATATAGGGAATGATGCTTGAGAAATTTGTAACAGAACCAATAATTGTATGCTTCTCTTCATCTTTTTTTAAAAATCTTCCCTTCTGATCTGTTCAGATTCTGTTCGTTCCTTTTGCTTTATAATTTTCTACTACAATTGATTCACTTAATATGATAACTTAGATGTCTTTTCTCTATTTCTGGCAGATCGATATATCTTTCCTATGATTAACCACAGGTAACAACTTACATAACATATTGAATGTAAATGTTAACAGTAGCTTCGTTATAATGTATCCTTGTCAAATTCAGTAATATTAAGTTCCATTTTTCAAATCTCACTATTCTGTATTCTTTACTCTTATATTTAATAGGTTGTTAAACATAGGTTGTAAATCACCGCTATTATGTTGTGGATCATTCATATCAGCACCGAAAGATTCTCAATGGTCTGAACGTAATTGTTTATTACTAAATGCTGTATTGGGAGCATATCATGCATTGTACACAGTAAGTTTTTCATGTTTTTTTTCCAATTTTTATTTTGTTGTACACAAAATAATTTAACGTATATTGTGTACCCATTGACTAACTGTGATTAGCTTATTGCAACTTTCTAAGAAATGGGGGAAACTAGAGAAAACAATATGAAAAGGCGAGAGTTAAGAGTCAAGTGTTTAGGATGATCTGAAAGAAGTGTATATACTAAGTTCCAACACCACATATGTATGCTGTAAAGGGTTTCTACTATATTTGCTGAACACTTTCTAAAAGATAAGAACTTCATTTCTTCTCTGTTCGTGTTTAATGTTTTCTACCACTGGTAATGTTACTACTTCTATTATTGTGGGATTTATTTTGATAATTTCATTTCGCTGCCATATCATGTGAAAATTTAAACCGATTCATATACACTCCAGATTCTATATTGGTTATGACTGACAAATTGATGAATCAGACAATAGTCTCCAGTGTTTCGTGTAGTTCAATGGTTCTTCAACTTACTTTATCTCATAATGATGAAAATAATCGTTGAATTGAAACCTCTAACAATCCACTGAAGTAAAAGTTGTTACCGATTTCTGGATGAATAATCACACATTTATATTTATGAAAAATGTGTAAAAGTGTATTTTCAGTTAATCGAATTACAAAAATAACATTAAAGGCTGGTCGGAATACGAAATACGATAAATACTTTTATCTGTTTTAGTTCGTTGTCAGTTATTATTCATTTTTTTAGTCCATTGAATGTATACTTATCCTATTGTTCACTCTTGAGAATACAGTGATCTTGAGGGCAGTTCTCAATTCCCGGTCACCCACACCCTGGAAGGGTTTTTCTGGAGGTACTTGAAAAGGAATTTGGATTAGAAGTGGTCTTAGTGACCTGAGAGCGTGACTGCAGTGCCCAAGGGACAACTGCCTGAGGTCGGTCACACATGACCTTTTTGTGAGTAATTTTCGTGTTAGCTGCGCACTTGTTGAGACCTTACCACCGTAGACGGATATCCGTGGGATAAGGCGAGGTCGACCTTTTCCAACCCCACCCCTCCTTGTGGGAAGGCAGCATCGCTGTCATGCTGGTTGTCTGAAGGAAACACTTTACTGTTGTCACACCTCTGTACAGTCAGCAGTACGACTTCGCCTTCGGACTTTGGGTTTATTGCTTTTAGTCTCACCGCTCTTCAATCGACCTGTCTGGCATGGTAGGACCGGTCGTTCCAGTCAGTATAACTCGGTTGATTCATCACAATAGGCAAGCCCGACCATCACATCAAGGTAGCAACAACGATCAGGCTATTGTTCACTCGATCTGTGTAATTAAATAATGAATATTTACCCTCACATATTATTTGTACTGGTATGCATAAAAATAAGTATTTGAAATTTCAAAATTGAATTTTCATCGATTGCCTTCATGAAACCAGCCAGTCACTTCCTAAATAATAATAATAATATGCGCATATTCTTTGAATTATTTATTTAGCCTCTTGAGGTTCGTGAAATGCTTCCTGAGAAATTTCCTAAAGCTATTCGATTTGGGGTGATGGAAGCTAATGACTCCTTACTAGATATCGCTAAAGCTATTGAAGAAGGACGAACATTAGCACGAGATATCGGTGGTTCGGATCCTGAACGAATGGCAGCCCCAAAAATTGCTGAATACCTACAAAATGCTTTAAATGGTCTTAAAGGTGTTACAATCACTGTCGATAAGGTTGATGCTAAGAAATACCCATTAATGGCAGCGGTAAATAGAGCAGCATCAGGTGAGTTTCCTTTGATCGTTTGAATTTTCCCATTCACCGTTATTTCTAAAACTTGACACAACTTGCTTTTAATAAAATTGATTTGTTGTATGCTATTGAGCTCTGGTTGGCCACTAAACGAATACAATCAGTCTTCTCCATGCGTTAAGTATTATACAGATGTATGTTGTATGTTTCTACTCAGAATTCACTGTATTTGTTTGGACTGCTGATGTTGTGTTAAGTAGACAACTGTTTGGTTCTAGTGATCGTATAATCCTGTGTCCAGATAGTATTATTGTATCATATTAGCATATCGCGGCAAACGCGATAATAATGCACTTTACAATTTTATCCAATTTTAATAAATATTATGTATCAGAAGGGGTTTTGTGGAGATTTTGGAAAGTTCACTGGTTGAAATCATGAGTCAATTGAAGCTAAATCATCGTGGAAAACCTGGAAGCACTGGATGGCCGTTTCGTCCTAGTATGGTGTACGATGGCGCAACTTCGTGGATTGGTTGGAGTTAGGTTAGACATTAACACCATTGGATGCCGGCTCAGTGGTCTAATGGTCTAGCGCTTGCGCGCGGGACTGATAGGTCCTGGGTTCGAATCTCGTGGGAGGCGGGATCGTGGATGGGCACTGCTGACGAGTCCCACAATAGGACGAAACGGCCGTTCAGTGCTTCCAGGTTTTCTATGATGGTCTAGCTTCAATTGATTCATGGTTTCAAACAGTGAAATATTATGTATGTTAATATTCTGATAATCGAATTTTCTTCGCACCCCGTGGTATTATTAATTTATTATTATTGTTATGAATAACACTCAATGTTTACATTCAGATGATGGATTTCAAACTTGCTCTTTCATTTCTTAATTGCAATTTTTCTTATATGATTATTTGTGGTAAACAACCGATTATGTAATTTTGTTTTTAATCTTTACTTTAAAACAATTAGTCTTTGATAAATTTCGATGATGCAGTGAGGAGATGAAGTTTATCAGAATTATATGATATATATTTGCGCAATACATTTCGAACAATCTGATCACACGCAATATACTTGTTAAGACATTTTTATATGAAAATTAAAAGGTCAACTAGACAGATTAAAGGTAAGCCGTAACAAAAAATAATAATAAAGTACACAAAAACAATGTGATTATCAGTATTACTAGGGTAGGTTAAAGATAAGGACAAATTGTTTTTGAACGCATAAAGGGGGTTTCAGTTTCCGTATAGCCAAGGCTTCAACAAACCTTAGATATGTCTTTGAAGGTTTTTGTATAACACTACAAATGTTGACTTGAAGTCAACCTTATGACCAGTCTCAATCAAATGTTTCGAAATTGAGGATGATGTCTGTCTATCCTGTGATCTTATTTGACCATTGAAATATGTGTGATCAGATTGTTCGAAATGTATTGCGCAAATATATCACATAATTCTGATAAACTTCATCTCATTGCATTATCGAAATCTTTATTTTCTTTGAGTTATTTAAAGGTTGTAAATTTTGGAGAAAATTTTATGTTTAATTGTAAGATCTACACATTAGAGTGATAGCAAGTAAATCAATTGAAAAGATACATTTCTTCGTTTAACTTATCCTTTTAATTCATCACCATATTTTTTAAAATTTTCTTTGAACTAATGAAAATCACTCCCACCTTCACTTCGATACCTGAATATTTACAAATTTATATCCTGTTCTAGCCCCGATTACTTCAGAAATATCAGTGGGTACTGTAACATCCAAACTGTTAGTTTCGGATTCTAAATAGCTCCTAGTAATACATTAGTTATTCGTCCTTCTTCACAGGCACATTCCAAACTAACGTTGGGTAGAATAAAGTACTATTCTAAATAATCATGAATATGAATCATACAAAATAGCTAAATGAATGGTATCACTAGGCTATTCAACCAGTGAGTTATTCAGTAAAATGTGTACAGTCGAATCCAGAATATATCGAGTAGATAAATTGTTAACGAACACAAAAATGGTTACTTAGCGAAGAAGAAATGTGTCCCTGCTAAACAAGGTATGTAATTCTGCCAGCTAGTAATCAAGCGATTTGATCACTGAAACTCAAACAGTTCATAATTTGTACAAACGTTTTACAGTACAAACTGAAAACATCTTCGACTAACTTTTAAGGAATATAAACTGCCCAGAAAAGACACTTCCCGCTACATGAGAACTTTATTCTACAGTAAAACAGTAAAACATTTCGAGCAGTAATCAACCAAACTCAAAGCAAATATGACAGCTGCCAAAGAAATGTGATTGAGCAAAGTGAAATTGAGACAATCATTGAAATACTGTGTAACAGCAAGAGAATGTTCTGAAAACCAAAATTATGATCGAAATAACGTCAATCTCCTGTGAAACCAATAAGTAAAACGAATATACGGAAACAAAATTATCGAGAATATTAATCTTGTATTCAAAGGATGATAATTAATTACTTCGATGTAAGAAACATATGGGAAGAACCCTCTTCCCCCACATACACGTGCATATCCACACAATAAGTTGCTTACAGCTGTTTTGAAAATTTTTCTCCTTTCCTTTCACCTTACTAATATAAAGTCATTCGTTACACTGCTTTATTTATAACTTATCTACTTTTCTGTTATTTATGATTGTCAACAGTGTGTACCCGGCTACCATGGGACTGCATCTCCTTACGATGCTCCACTGCCTTGTGGGTTAGACCTTTAGGTCAAAGGCTCGGGGTGTGGCCCCCTAAGATAACCACCTGCTTCGGTTTGGGCACCCGGGCAGTATCACAGCCCACACACAAATGATGAACTCTTTATGTCTATAGAAATTACTTTTGTCGCTTTGAAAAACAAACAATTGATTCAGATTATTATCATTACAATTATTGTCATTATTAATACTAATATTATTATTACTACTATTATTGTCATTATTGTTATTATTATCATTATTATTATTATTTTCAACATTATTCACCCTCTTTTATACTTATACAGCGGCTCGTCTTTGGTGGAATTCCGACTGTATCTAAACGTTCTCGAGTCACTGTCCGGTTGAAAATTGTATGTTACCACCGAATACGAGGACTGAAGCAGATTTTCTGAAACCACGTGCACCATTCAAACTGGCTGCCTTCAACGTTCGCACATTTATGCAGGTCGGACAACAGATAGGGCTGGCTATGTCTTTGGAAAGTCTTAATATTGATGTTTGCTGTCTATCCGAGACCCGTATTCAAGACTCTGGTGAAGTACTACAAATTCGCTCTCCATCTGTTGCTTCGAAAAGCTTGTTTTACGTGCGCTTATCCGGAGACCCTGTGGCATCTTCGTCTGGTCTTGTTGGCGTTGGTGTCGCACTAAGCGCTCGAGCTGAGGCAGCACTAGTCGATTGGATCCCCATTAACAGTCGGTTATGTGCTGTTAGATTAGAGAGTTCCATCAAAGTGAGAAGAAATCGGCGTGAGAAACGATGTCTTTTCGTCATCTCCGCCTATGCCCCGACAGATTGTAGCCCGGATGCAACCAAGGATGAGTTTTATCACCAGTTATCTGTTCTTCTCCAGAAAGTGCGTTCGACAGATATTGTAGTACTAGCCGGAGACTTGAATGCTCAGGTCGGGCGTCTAGGCACAGAAGAGAGTCGTTTAGGTGACCGATGGGGACTCGTTGGTCGCAGGTCAGATAACGGGGACCGTCTACTGCAACTTTGCACAGACCACAACCTGTTTCTGGCTAGCACTAACTTTCGGCACAGTCATCGCCGATGTGCCACCTGGCGTCCTCCCTCTGCATCTCAAGCCTGGACTCAGATTGATCACATCGCGATCAGTTACCGCTGGCGTGGTTGTGTAAAAGACTGCCGCTCCTTTTGGAGTACCTATCTGGACTCTGACCATGCCTTGGTCTGCGCCAATCTTGCCTTACTTTTCAGTGGACAACGAAGTGAACGCCATCAACGGATTGATGTTAGCAAGCTGGTTGCAACTTCTGTTGCAAATAAGTATCGGACCGAGCTAGCCTCTAGGCTAGCTACCACTCCACCGAAAAGTATAGATGAGCATTGGTTGCAATTGCATGACGCCATGAAAATGGCGGGAACAGTCAGTTGTGGGTTTGCGAAACGTCCCGCTTTTAAGCACTGGGTTTCTTCTGGTTCCTTACAACTCATTGAAGCCCGTCGGTCTACTCCGGGTGACCGTGAGTTTGACCATAAACGAAGGATGTTACGTAAGGAAATCGGGCAAAGCTTGCGTAAGGACCGAGAAGCCTGGTGGTCGAAGCGTGCTAATGAGCTGGAAACAGCAGCTGCATCTGGTAACTACCGGAAGCTCTTCCAACTCATCCGAGCCACTGGCAGCAAGAAGTCTGGTGTGAGTGAAACAATCTGCGAGGATGATGGGATGCCAATCACTAACATCCATCGACGTCTTGGACGATGGGCAGAATTTTTCGAAGGGCAGTTCAACTGGCCTGCTGCTCCGGCATCATCGGTCATACTGTCCTTCCCTTCATGACCGGTGACGACTGATCCACCAAATGAGGAGGAAGTCCGCAAGGAACTCCAACTCTTGAAGCGTTACAAATCATGTGGCCCAGATGACTTACCTCCGGCTCTTTTTAAAGATGGTGGTGACTTTTTGACTAAGGAATTGACGACGTTGTTTACAAAGGTTTGGGAACTAGAGAGTGTACCAACGTCATGGAATGAGTCGATAGTTGTCCCTATCCTCGAAAAGGGTTCACGTCGTTCCTGTAACAACTATCGGGGGATAAGTTTACTTCCGATTGCGTCCAAGCTATTGGCTTCCGTCATTCTTCGTAGGTTGTCCAAAACCCGAGAAAGATTGACTCGCGAGGAGCAGGCTGGGTTTCGTTCTGGTCGAGGATGTATTGATCATATATTCACCCTCCGCCAAATGTTAGAACACCGCCATACTTTTCAAAGGCCAACAATCGTAGTGTTTCTTGACATCAGGGCTGCCTTCGATTCGTTGGATAGGACTGTTCTCTGGGATTGTCTATTGAAGAAGGGTGTGCCTGAGAGGTTTCTTAACATCCTAAAAGCCCTATATACAAACACTTCAGGCAGAGTGAGGGCATACAACCACCTCTCTCCATTGTTCCATTCGAGCAGTGGGGTTAGGCAGGGTTGCCCAATCTCACCATTCCTCTTCAACTTTGCCATCGATGACATTCTGGAAACAGCTCTGATGAATGTAAGTAATGGTGGTGTGGATCTGTTGCCTGGAGAAAGACTTCTCGACCTTGAGTATGCGGACGATATTGTCTTACTGTGCGATAATGCCCAAGGCATGCAATCCGCACTTAATCAGTTGGCAATCAATGTCCGTAGGTATGGTATGTGCTTTGCACCTTCGAAGTGCAAAGTACTTCTACAAGACTGGCAGGATTCTAATCCTGTACTCACCCTGGACGGTGAGCAGATAGACGTAGTTGAGAAGTTCGTGTATTTGGGTATCATCATAAGTGCTTGTTGTGGCGTGAGTGATGAGATCAATGCACGAATAGTGAAAGCCAGAGCGGCTTATGCCAATCTGGGCCATCTATGGCGCCTTCGTGATGTTAGTCTGGCTGTAAAAGGTCGGATCTACAACGCGTCGGTGAGAGCAGTTTTGCTCTATGCTTGTGAAACCTGGCCTCTCCGAGTTGAGGACGTTAGACGACTCTCTGTGTTCGATCATCGCTGTCTCCGAAGGATTGCTGACATTCAGTGGCAACACCATGTCAGTAATGCAGAGGTTCGGCATCGTGTGTTCGGGCACAGAGATGATAACTCAATTGGTGTCACCATCTTGAAACACCGACTTCGGTGGCTTGGACATGTTCTCCGAATGTCCTCCCAGAGAATTCCACGTCGTGCATTATTTGCCGACTCTGGGACTGGTTGGAAGAAGCGGAGATGTGGTCAGTGCATGACATGGTGTCGTGGCATGAAAGAAAGCTGCAAAGGACTGGCTTGTGTTGGTCCTTCACGACTCCCTGGCTGGGGTCCGAGAGATGGTGCTACACAGTGGCTAGAGACGTTATCAGATATGGCTCAGAATAGAAGCCAGTGGCGATCCTGCTGTAACCTTCTTTTACTTTCTTCATAAAAAGTGGTTGTGTCTCCTTTACCTGAAAGATTTCTTCTGATTGTACCTCTTCGTCATTACTCTCTTTTTCTTTTGCGTTCCTTAGTTTTTTTTTCTTTTTTTTTTACTTCTCTTCGAATTCCCATTGTTTTGTGTGGCGCATATATATTGGCGCTCTCTTGTACCAATATTTATGTGTTCAAATAAATAAATAAAAATACTAAGGGCTTCCGGTTGGCCAATGTTACTTGCAAATCAAGGAACGATTGAACTATTCTCATATGAATGGTTCTGTTGTCAACGGCTGGAACACAATACTTCACACAATCACCCGCTAACACAACAAGAAAATAACTGTTCAAACAGTCAAGTTGAAGTTGTACAACTCAGTATATTATATCTTATCGAAAGTACGATCTTCAAGCATGCAGAAAATCATCTTACTTAAAGTAGTAACAACTAATTAGAAAAGGGCAGAGGTCGTATTAAAGGTTGAGTTGGAAGAAATGAAATTTAAGATTATCGTCACTAGTAAGAATTCTAATATTAGAAATGGATACTGAGTAAAATCTCGTAATCACACTAACAGTTTTACTCGTTAGTAAGACCACACCACACCATAATTATTCAAACAGGACACTGATACAATAGAAAATGTCTATCAAAGCTGTTTGTGCAAGCCCAATATGTAGACGTGGCGATTTTTTATATTCTTAATAAAATAGTTATTTAAGATAACATTCATATTCAGTTTCTTTTAAAAATAAATCCCATGAGTATAACTAACTTTTATGTCATTCAAATGTGAATACTTTTTAAGGAGAAGGAATAAATAAACATTTTTTTCTTTCAGTTGTACCTCGTCATGATGGGAGAGTTGTTCATATTGATTATAAACCGTCGAATTCCAAAGAGATCGATACATCATTATTTCTTGTCGGTAAAGGTATCACTTATGATACTGGTGGAGCTGATGTTAAAGCCGGTGGAATTATGGCTGGGATGCATCGAGATAAATGTGGTGCTGCAGCAATAGCTGGTTTAATGAAAACTATTGGATTACTGCAACCAGACGGTATAAGTGTTTCAGCAGGTTTGGCATTTGTGCGAAATAGTGTTGGAGCTGAATCATATGTTGCCGATGAAATAATCATTGCACGCTCTGGACAACGTGTACGTATTGGTAATACAGATGCTGAAGGTAGAACGGTTATGGCTGACTTATTATGTGAAGCAAAAGAAAAGGTTAGTAGTTATGGTATTTTTTAGTCAATGTTCAAATATCTTTTACACATAGAAACTCACCAGTAGTATTGTGAATATCCCCGTTTGATGAGTTATCTGAATTAATGTCAAGCTTTAGCCTATAAAGTCTTTCATTGTATACTTTGAAATGTTGCACTGATTTTGTGAAAGTTGCTTATATTTACGATCATTATCATTATTATGTTAAAATATTCAAAAATGTCATGATTTAGTTCTCCTTTTTGTACTTCCTACCTATGTTGCCACTTTAACGTAAGCATGATAGTAATTTGGTTTTGTTGTCTTGCCTGTATGAATCGAGACACGCGGAGTCATCTCATACTGTCATGATTGAATGAATATTAAGGACTTTGTAACTTGACTATTTTTATTTTTATTTTATAGTTGTTAAATAACTGGGTGATTGTATTTCCACATTTATTGTACAAGTTCCTGTTGGATTCGTTATTCGTTTTGCCATTTTTCAATTATTGCTAATTTATTATTCCCCTCTTGGTCTCATAGTAGCTTGGCTTCGAGATAGTTCCTTATGTTTCGTTTATCAATCACCTTGATAACCGTTATGGTCCAACAGGGTGCTTGATACCTGTGTGGTCGCGCCACAGGATTGAGCTGTACTATTCAGATTGTAGCGTTAAAGCCTGTACGGTGTCTGGTTCCCCTGCTAAACGTGGTTGAGCTGTACTGTTAGGGTTTCTACGTGAAAGTCCGGATGGTGTCTGGTTCTCCTGAAAACCAATGTAAAATTACCCTGGCCCACAAGGGTATATTATATTATATAACTGTGATAACCGTTAGCATATAACTCTCAACAGTGTAACAGTTCAGAAGGCAATGAGATGCGGCGACTACAGTTTATTATTGGACAGCACAGATAACAAAGTTACAAGCACATCGGGTGAATTGGAGTAGAGAGGCTGATACAGAGGTGGATTTATAGTCAAATCGCATCAAGGCGTATACATATAGGAAAGAGAATGATTTATTGAAAGACATTTAAACGATTAACATTTAAGCTAGAGAGAAGTGTGCGTAGGTTGTCACATGTAATCAAGCATACACGTTTATACAGACATGATAGTGATCATAATAATACAACGAAAAAGACAAATTGTTACTGTCTTGATAACACTGTTAAATAAGTTAATTGAAGGGAAGGGCTCGACAGAATTAACCGTAATCAAAATTAATTGTAGGAGAGTTGCTATAGTCTGTTATTTATAAACCTTAGTTGTTCGTAAACTATGGTCTTTTTACAGTACGATGATGTCTGATAATTCATATATAAACACATAAGTGTTTGAGTTATGATGACTGGTTGACCGAATACAGATAGGAGATTGCATGTTGCCGCGTTCTTCTACCACAGATTGAACGCCGAAACGGAAGAAAGGTACGGGTTATGGACCAGTAGGAGTGAAGATAATCTCAACCATTGCTCAAGGTTAATTGCTGCTAGTTAATTCATGTCAGTGGTCAAAGCATAGAACATAAGTTTCCAGACAAGAAAGTATCCTGTGTTTGTAATTATTATCAAAGATGTAAGTTAAACTAATCTACTATGTTAGTGATTGTGTAGAGGATACATGAATTACTTTTTATGTATGAGTAAAGGTGAATTCTAGTCCCGATAAATGAATGTTTACATCATTCCTTGGAAGTACTTGTGATTTTCTGAAGTAATTGCCTAGGTGCTCAAATTTCATTCGGTTTAAAAAGCTCCAATTCTCAGAAAACTGTTTACACTTTATTTAAGTGCTGTAGTATAGACAGTCAAATGGTATACAATTAGAACTTATGTTGGTATTTATGATTTATACCTCAGTTTATTCAAGCCCTACTAAGCAGGCTATTTCTCCAAATATATGGCTTCATCTAAGCAATCATTCTCTTTTTATTTCTTATATTTGACTTTGTTTTCTACAGGCACTCACAGCTAAGAATCCATTTATATTTACTATAGCCACATTAACTGGACATTCTATTCGAGCTTACAAAAACTTCACGGTAAATTTAAAACTGTTTGAACTAATTAACTGTCATTATCAGTATCTACATTTATTCTGCGTTGTGTCTGTTATAGTAAACACTTTTCTGTTTTAAACAATCAATATTCAATTGAAAGGGTACACATTTAATAAAGATTTTTTCAAAAAAGAAAAATATTTGATTTCTAACTGACAGAAAGGATTTTTATTCAGTTTGCTACCCAGGTGTTTGTTTCTTAATATTTATCATGAATATGTACCTGAAGCTTTCTTCACTATTTATTCAAGTAGATGAATTGTAATTATTCTGGCAATGTCTCTGATAGATGGAGGTTCAGAGTTTATTAGGACACTTGACTTTCGTCTAGGAATCGAGTACAGTTTGGTAATGAATTCCAAGAAATAAGAAACGTAACCTGTGAATTAGTTCACTATTGTCTTCAACAGCCGAACGTTAGCTACAGAACACAAGAATATTAATATGAGAATAGGTTTAAAGAAGAAAAAATGTGCCCAGCCCGAAACACGGAATATATTCACTAAACCACTGACTATTCAAATGTTTGTCAGTCTCACTTTTTTTCCTTCACAAGCTTCAAAAGCACGTAGAAAACGGACTGTGCAATAATTTTTCATAGAAGAATGACCTAGTAACTAAAGTAATTCTTATAAAGCAGTGTTATAGTTTTCCTTTCCTATTATTTACACCGTTTTGTACCATTTCGATAATTCAGTTTATTGTTTTCCTTTAATTTGGCAGGCTTTGATGGATAATGGTCCAGCACGAGTTAAAAAGGTATCATATGAATTACAAAATTCTGGTGATCTAATCTCTGATATTGCCGAGGTAAGTTTTCCGTTAAAACAATTTGTTTCGTCACAGAAGATGAAGATTACGTGAATAACAATTATTATGGTTTGTACTGAATTCGCTTTATTTGACTTTTTCTGTGTGGTAATTGATATCATAAATTGACTGAAATGGTACGAATAAGGTAGGTTATAGGCTTTAAAATATCAAGTAACCTATTCTAGCGGTAAAATTTGCTTATAAAGAATGCGGTAGTTTGGTATCGATGGCGCACGATTTGTAACCATTAAGTCGAAGATTTAAAATCTCCACTTACTTTTGAGCATTGGGCTGGTATCATTACTCTCCACACAAATCTTTATGTAGTAAATGGGTCGAAAAGACAAAAAAGGCTTACAAAGGGCTTTCATAGCCATTTAACTTCAATTAAGTAAGGGGATAAATGGCGTGATCAACCGCAGACGACATGCCCAAATTACTTTCGAGAAATGGGTATATTAATACTACTACTGGTTGATAATACTAATTGAGAGTGTGATATTGAGCAAGTAAATTAATGAAGTGGATCCCGTTTGAGGAATGTAATTCAGCAAGTGAGACGCGTATGTGGAATTCTTATAAGTGTTCTAATTAAGCAACCAAGATACACATGCAAATCATCATGGGAAAAGATTAGTTATATCCGGTGTGATACTTTTACGGAAAATTGCTATGCACCAGGGGTTTGTAGACCGTCCTATCTCGAGGTATTAGAGACGAAGCATACTATCCAAAGCACAATTAAAGGGAGCAAAATTACCCCCAGAAAACAGCATTTCATTATGTAACATGAGAATATTAACAGTTACTGGGAATTCATTAGGCGAAATCTTTTGGCAGTAGCGCATGCAGAATAGACTAGTACAAGAATAAACTAAAATATTGGACTAACAGTATAAATTGATTACTAGTTACGGAATTGAAGTCATATAAATGGTTCAATATAACTCAACCTAGTTACTAACAGCGAAACCAAATGAAGCAAGTGGATGAAATTTGGGATTTATAATCAAATTAATGATATGTAGCTCATAAGATTGTCCTTATTGTATTTGTGGATTTTGTATGAAGAGTACAAACCATATTTAAAACAGTAAGGATACATTGCATTATATCAACCATAGAAAGAAATAAGGTAGGAAATATTTTGTGGATGACTACTCACTCGATCTCATCATAAAGCCTTTATCGAACTCATTGACAAACACAAAATTGAATATAGAAACCAAAAGAGATTACCGTACTAAACATGAAGGGCACGTAGAAAATTACGGCCATGTTATTGAGTTCATTTGAAATAGACTTAGCACATAAATCACTAGTATTACTTAAATCAACGCAAACCGAAAGGTGAAATGATAAATAGGGATGAACAGCATCTACAAAACTAACTGCTGCAACTGTGGAAAATGAATCATCAGACAAAGGTTCCATCTTCTACTCTTGGATGAGCATCGACTTATAGTGAAGCGCCACGACACATCTTCGCTTATATCAATACATTTAGATAATATTGGATGCAAACTGCAATGGGAAATCTTTGAAATTTCGGACATTTCTAACATCAGAATATTTGGAAACAGTCAATCAATATATCGCAAAAGGACTTAACGTATCGACCAATTACTAAAATCATAAACAAATATAAGATTGGGGTTCAGATCAAAGGGGAAGACAATGTAAGTGTGCAAGCAATAACAAAACTATTGTTGACAGCAACCAGTTAAAATTATTGTTGGCAGAACAAGCTGTCAGTCAGTTGAAGAGAGATTTCATTAACTGCTTTATTCCTAAGGTTTACGTTGCTTATTTTGTCGAAAAAGGCAATGAAAGTTTTATGTTTTAACTATCAAACTAAAAAAAACACAACCTCATAAAAATCTTACTTTTACTCTGAGTAATTTCATATGGTGGCCAATCTGTTCAATTTTCTTTGTACATGACAAAATCAGGGACTGATGAGTATATTACTCATCATAACTTATCGATAAATAAGGATATGGAAGCGGGAATGAAATTCATTAATTCTGTTTTCTATCACTTTAGATTAAAATCTAATCTCACTTCTGTGTCATTTAATTAAGCGAAATTATACATACATACATACAAAAATAATTTATACATTGTGCCAATAAACGTGATTGAAATCTCTAGCTTTTTCAGTCATACTAAAGTGAAAGTATGCTTTACTGATGAGCCTTGGTGACTTTCGAAATGACCTCGTGAAAATCAATTTTCAGCCCATCATAATGTAGATAATATACATGTAACCTGACAGCCTGAAATGTGTTGGGGTTAGAATATGTAATTTGACTCATGGGTAAAGGTATGTAGTGAGGTTAAACGTTAAGAGTAATTATTATTTAGCGGAAAACACCTTTCAGGCACATGAATAAATACTTATGCATTTAGTTATTTGATTTCATATATCGATGGCCTTTAAGTTTCCTTGAAGACTCCACAAGTCATATATATAATAACAGAATTAATGTCAGTTTATAGGCATAATCCGCTTGATATAGATAGTAATATTAAATGGATCCCATTCTTTAGCATCCCCATGTTTATCAATTGTAAGCGTTCTAGTGATTCGGTTTGTTTCAAGGTTTTGTTTATTTCCTACTCAGCTCTTCAAAGGGATATAAACTATCCTTAATTGTTTGTTAAATTGGGTTCAGAAATCCAATAGCCATCATCGTAAATCTGATTGGTTTGTAGGTAAAGTATTCTTTTACCTAAACATATAAGAAATATATCATAATTTAGTATCAGCTGGAATAGAATCAGTGAGCACTAGAAAGTTACAAATAACTGTTTTGTTGTCAGTCAGTCAGCTAAAACGTAGGACCAGGCACATATGTGCATCGGTCCAAGTTGTCATACATCATTAGCACAAGATGAACACCGAATCGTTGTAGTCGTTGTTGTAGTTAAGTAGTGTTTAGAAATATATTTGTAATCAAATCCTGCATGTTTAGATGTCATGACGTGCATAACATTTTTATGTCACCTAGTTTAAATCTAATAGTTCGACCTCTCAACTCTCATCAATTTCTGATGTAATACGGAGCCGTCTGAACGGATAAGGATTATCATTACTCCAATAAACTCTAACAACTTTCTTTCTATATGTATATACATATTATTGCTTCCTTTTTTATGAAAAAAAATCAGATTTCTACTATTCGTAAAGAAGATTATGCTATGAACAAGGCTAAAAGTGAATATGAAGACCTAGTACAGTGTAATAATGTGGCAAGCAGCGGTACACCACGAGGTCATCAAATGCCAGCGGCTTTTTTGGTTGTTGCTAGTGGCTTAAATAAGGTAAGCGTTGAAAATTGTGATAGAAGTGTTTTTATTCGATAATAAGACTATTTTTTTATCAGGATTGGTTTTTATTCGTTTGTGGCTTTCATTGTGATCTACAATCTCCGAAAGAGGTCGGTAATTGACAATTGTCTTTTCATCTTCCTAAATTGATAGTTACCGGTCAAATCTGAAATTGTTATGAAAGATTCAGCCAGTCAGTCATATGCAACATGGTACCTGAAACATATGCGTCGTCTCAATTTAACACACCACATCAGTAAGGATTGATGAAATTATCAAGATAAGTCTTTCTCATGAGAAACTACTATTTAAACTCTAGATAATTTCACCTTATGACAGTGAGTATTATTTATGAGTCAGCTATTCAATGAGGGCAAGAAACTGATTCATCTCTAAATTGTGTCAGTTTATCCAACTGTACTATCTCATAACACATTGATACATTTATTGCAGCTATCACTTTTCACTAGTCCCATATACAATAGACTGTAATACTTTGGGTTTCTTCAAAAAAATTAAAATTAATCTACAAATTAGAACAATAAGCTTGTATCTACCTATTTCTAAACCGTGTCATCTGTTTTCCAAGTGTTCTACCTACTCTGTGCTTTCTTAAATTAATGATACTCTTTCCCGCTCCTGTTGACTGTGACATATTCCACACCACTACTACATTAATTCAGGGAACATAAAAATACAATTGTATAATGATTTAATAATCATAAAACGCAAATATAAACAGTGATTGTCTACGAATTTGTTCCAAAAGTTACGACGTTCTCAGTATCCGCTGGTTTAAACAGTCTGATGTCTACGAAACAATCGGCATCGTTGTTTCTAGGCTGAGTGGTACAAGAATTTCATAAGATATCACATTATCTCAAACCTCAGGTCGCTTCTATTATTCTAACAGAAACGCAGAGTGATAATATTTATGGATAAATGCGTTAAACTATGTGTTTGATCTATAGCTAGGGAAAGTTGACTGGGTATCATGGCCGTGTCTTCTTATTATCGATAAAGTGGAATTCCAACCTATCAGTCATAAGCTGCAAACTGATTGCCTTCACTGGTAAGTAACAACTCTCGTTTGCGATTTTTCGTTCACTAATTTATAAAGTGGGGCTGTGGTGCGTGCTACTTATATCGATGTGTGTAGTATATCACGCGAGTTAAAAACTCAATGTCTGGCAGCAGAAGATATGGGAAGATCAAGAAAGGTAGAGAGACAACACAATACAATTTGTAAGGAAACGCATGAACAATGAAATGTGAGACAATGGATTGATGTTTGCAACAGGAACATGTTGATATGATGCATTGATATTTTGCAAATTAAAGATTTACTATATGGTTTTTCTATTTTACCAAGTAACTCTGTAATTTGTGCTAAATACAATTCGGTTGTCCCCACCTGTGTTCTCCTTCACTACAGGGCTATTGTTTAATTTAATGTTTGACAAGAGAAAGTCTATCAATAAGCATGTCTGTTTTAATCAATGTTAACTACTAACATTGATCAGGATGATTTGATCCACCTCATGTTCAGCTAGCATGTTGTAGAATCTAATCAGATTTCGCTTATTCAGACTGAGTTCGGCTAAACACTTAGTAACATCTTCAATCATTAAACCACAATAAGGACTCATATATAAGTATGAAGTGATATTTCATTATTATATTTACCTTACTAAATGCTTTCATTTTGTAAATGTGAATCAATTGTTTTTTCTCTTTTTGTTTTGTAGCATGGTCTTGATGCCAAAGTGCAAATTCCTTACACTAATGTAGATGTAGCCGGTAGTGCAGGTGAAATTAACGTAACACCAACTGCTGCTCCTTTAATGATGTTTGCAAGACGATATATTTTACCACGACTAAGTTTTAAGTAACAATTTGACAATTATCCAATTTCTTCAATTATTCTGAATATTCTAGTTTAGATTTATTCGAATTTCGTTTATATCGCCTTTCTTGTGATCATAAAATAATGATTTTTAATGGTGTAATTTTTCAATGGGTATTTTATTGTTGAAAATTGAACAATGTAATAAAATACTGACATATTAGTAATTTACATTGGTTTTTATTGCAAATTACGGTAAAATTACTTACTTACGACTGTTACTCCCAATGGAGCATAGGCCGCCAACCAGCATTCTCCAACCCACTCTGTCCTCGGCCTTCCTTTCTAGTTCTATCCAATTCTTGTTCATTCTTATTTCTATCTCCATTTCTCGACGTAATGTGTTCTTTGGTCTTCCTCTTTTTTTAGCCCTCGGGATTCTATGAGAGGGCTTGCCTTGTGACGCAGTTGGGTGCGTTCTTCAATGTATGTCCTATCCATTTCCAGCAATTCTCCCTGATTTTTTCCTCTGGAATCTGGTTTGTTCTCTCTCATAGTAGGTTGTTGCTGATAGTGTCTGGCCAACGGGTCCGAAAGATTTTGCGTAGACAGTTTTTAATAAACACTTTCATCTTCTGGATGATGGCTTTCGTAGTTCTGTAGGTTTCCGCCCCATACAGTAGAACTGTCTTGACATTTGTATTGAGAATCCTAACCTTGGTGTTGGTTGACAGTTGTTTTGAGTTCCAGATGTCCTTCAATTGTAAATATAATGCTCTTGCTTTACCGATCCGCGCTTTCACATCTGCATCAGATTCACCATGTTCATCAATGATGCTGCCCAAATATGTCAAGGTTTTTACATCTTCCAAAGTTTCTCCGTCAAGTGTGACTCGACTGGTGCATGCTGTGTTATATCGGAGAATCTTGCTTTTCCCTTTGTGTACATTGAGACCTATTGCTACTGAGGCTGCTGCTACACTGGTCGTCTTCTCCTGCATTTGCTGTTGCGTTTGCGATATGAGAGCCAGATCATCTGCGAAGTCTAGATCGTCCAACTGCATCCTTGACGTCCACTGTATCCCACGTTTCCCTCCATATGTTGACGTCTTCATGATCCAGTCGATCACCAGGAGAAAGAGAAAGGGTGAGAATAAGCAACCTTGCCTGACACCGGTCTTCACTTCGAACAACTTTGTCAACTGTCCTCCACCCTGTTGAAGACTTTTCCTGGTATTGAGAGAAGAGTGATGCCCCTGTAGTTATCCCACTTGCTGAGATCGCCCTTCTTTGGTATTTTGACCAGAAGTTCTTCTTTCCAGTCTGTTAGTGCTTGTTCTTCATCCCAAATCTTATTGAAGAGAATATGGAGTATCCTTGCAGTTGCCGCTACGTCTGCTTTAAGTGCCTCTGCTGGAATGCTGTCTGGTCCTGCTGCTTTGTCATTCTTGATTTGTCTGATGGCCATGCTGATTTCCTCAATTGTTGGTGGGCCAACATTGATTGGGAGGTCCGTGGGTGCTGCTTCGTTGTTGGGTGGGTTCAGTGGAGCTGGTCGATTCAAGAGTTCTTTGAAGTGTTCTACCCACCTGTTTTGTTGCTCTTCAATGTTGGTGATTACCTTGCCTTCTTTGCTTTTCACTGGTCGTTCTGGTTTGCGGCGATTTCCAGAGAGTTTCTTTGTCGTGTCATACAATTGTCTCATGTTTCCTTCTCTTGCAGCCTTTTCCGCCGTCGTTGCTAAATCTTCCACATATTTACGTTTGTCGGTTCTGATGCTCCTCTTCACTTGCTTGTTTACTTCTGTGTATTCAGCTTGTACCTTGGCTTTCTCTGCTCTTGTTCGTCTGATATTGATTGCTGCTTTCTTGAATCTTATCCAGTGTATCAACAGTGATCCATTCCTTGTGATGGTGCTTCTTGTGACCCAAGACCTCATGACATGTTGAAGTGATTGCCTCTTTGATCCCCTTCCAGTTGCTCTCCACAGTAGTTCCTTCTCCATTGAGTAGATCATGAAAGGCCTGGAACTTGTTGCTGAGGGTTATCTTGAATTTGTTGAGTTTGTTAGTATCCTGAAGAAAGGCCGTATTGAACTTTTGTGATATTGTCCGCCCCGTTGTCCAGTGCTTCTTGAGTTTCAATTTCATCTTGGTGACCAGCTCCTCTCTTGGTTCTCACATCTTCCATCGTCCTCCCGACCTTTTTTCTTATGCAGATATGTTCGGTTTGGTTTTGCGTGGTGTGATCCGGTGAAGTCGATGTGATTTTGTGAATGCACTTATGTGGGAATATAGTTCCGCCCATGACCAGTTTATTGAAGGCACATAGATTTGCAAATCTCCCACCATTTTCATTCCTTTCTCCCAGTCCGTGTCGTCCCATGCTGTCTTCATATCCAGTGTTGTCCATTCCGACCCTGGCATTTAGGTCTCCCATCAGAATGGTCAAGTCCTCTGTTGGGCACTTCTCGACATTGACTGCAGCCTATTATAGAATTGGTCTTTAACGTCTTCATTGTAGTCGTTGGTAAGCGCCCCCTTTCTTTGTTTTGAACGAGGCTTTGATGATCCTTGCTCCATGATATTCCCATCCTATAAGTGCATTTTGTACTTTTTTGATAGCATCAATGCAACTCCTTGTGTGTGTGGGGCATTTTCTTCATGGCTGTAGTATAACAGAAGCTCCTTTCAAGCTAGTCGTTGTTGTCCGACTTGCGTCCAATGTGTTTCACCGATCCCATGCACCTCCAGGTCGTATCTTCTCATTTCTGCATCAATTTGGAAGACTCTCCCAGTCTTCCACATTGTACGAGCATTCCATGTACCTAAATAAATGGTTGCTCTGGTTGTCAGAAGGGGCATCGGCCTCGTGGCTTCCGAAGGAACTCGGCTTCCACCATGAGGCGTTATGACTCTTCTAAATGAAGAACTGATTCCCAGGGCGAAGTTTAAGTGGTTTGAATAATTTTTTCTGGTTAGCGTGTCTTAGCGAGTTAGTTTTCTATGGAATGGGGTCGCTAACCCCATGCCTAACCCTCCTCCTTTATCCGGGCTTGGGACCGGAGGGGCTCCAGGCGAAGTTACGGTAAAATAGAATGACATAAAAACTACAGACAAATTAATAAACAATATTTATTAATCGATGTGTGGGCGTGAATGATAATGATTGGTTGTCTGCTTAGTCAGACATGTAGACAGTCTAACAGGTGTCAGATGAGTTATATATTCCCCTATCCGTATTATTATCATTACTCACTTATTATTGGTGGTTCATTGTCGTTGGGTTGTGTCGGCTTTGGTGTGGAAATATATTTACGTTGTGGTCAGGCTAATTACGTGTTCTTGGTCTTAGTTGTGTTGACGTCCTGTAGAACAGACACTGGGAGAGATCTAGTGTAGATAATCGTCTAAGGTAAATTAACGTCCCATACATGTCAACGTGGAAAACCAACCGTTATAACATTACGCGAAATAACACCGAGCGATATAATAATTGGCGACGAGGTGAAAAACAAAGAACCAAGGATAAAAAATCCATAAGATACAGCATTATTTATATGCAAAATTTCAATAAAATCTATGAAATTGAACACAGAAATCATAAGGAAAAAGTAAAAACAGATGACACAAAAATATTGAAGGAAAACAAGGAAAATGAAAAGTAAAACACAAGCGAATAAAAAAGTCGGGTTATACTGATATGCGTCAATAAGTTTGAAAGAATAATAATCACGAGATAGAGTGATATTAATGAAGGCGAAGGGAATATGCACTAATCAGGAAGCACAGCATGGGTGTGACGGTGCGTGCTTAACTATAAAAGCTATTCGCTACAGACCTTCAACATTTCCTCGTCCCTCTCCACAATCTGCATCTCACAGAGATCGCCATCACTACCACATGAATTCACACGAAGATTTTGTAGGTCTGCACCATCACGCACAATTTATATCTACAAACTCGCTTGTGCATATCAGTCTGGTCGTTGACACGCATACATGTTTGATGAGATGCAGATGAACAAGGTGATATTGTTGTTCGGGTGTACAGTGGTGATGGGGAAGTCGCTGTGAACACACCTATGACGAGTTAGCTGACATGGTCGAGTTACTGATTGCATCGGGTCTGGTCACTGAGCCAGTGTCTGGTGACATGCATCTGTGTGCAGTTGAGGGTATGTTGTTTTCATGTGTAGCAGTGTTTTCAGTGATCGATAGAGTACAGTTAGTGTGCACCGATTCGATCGGTTATCAGTGAAGCAGTGTCACTTGAGCAAGTGAAGGAGATAGCGACGAACAGTGAATGTTCGTAGTTGGTGACGAATATCGTTGTATTTGTACGAGTGGTTGTCCGTCGACTGAGAGTCGATGGTGGTCGTGAGGGGAACATTGAGTGGTGAGGATGCACACAGTTTGTGTGTGTGTGTGTGTGTGTGTGTGTGAATTCAATGAGAGTGGGTCAGACGGTGGAGTGGAGAGTCGGACAAAAGCCCGCTACGTCAGGAGCAGGGTTCGAACCTGCGCGGGGAAACCCCATTGAATTTCAAGTCCAATGCCTTAACCACTCGGCCATCCTGACACGATTCGCGCATTCACACACAATCAACTCACACGTTCATCACCACAACATCAACAAAACACTCTCTCATCACACATCCACTCGCACACACGCAAAACATCGGCACTAACACACATACTCATTTATACACTCGTAATCGATTCCAGTCAATCACATCCCCGACACCAACACCGACATCGACACCAACACCAACATTGACAGCGACAGGGATCACAACAACCACAATAACAACAACAAAACGTCGTCGTGGTCATCATCATCAAGAATAGTAGTGGAAGTAGTAGTAGTAGCAGCAGCAGCAACACCAGGAGCAACAACTACAACTACATAAAACACCAACAACACCAACACCACCAACACCAACACCAACACCAACACCACCACCACCACTACTACTACTACTTCTACTACAATATATCTCCTCACACAATCACTGTTTCCCGGTCGTTGTGGCCAGTTGCCACCT